CTCTCTCATTAACCAATATAAGCAGAGTACAATATCATACAATGTCATGTCATGGTCATCAGCCCAAGACTTTAATTTTCTCATGGCTGCTTCTTAATATGTTCAAAATTTTTCTGAGCTCCAGAGAATCCACCTGTACAGGTCAGCGAGCTCTGGAACCAGCTTGGATCCACCTGGACAGAACCCAAAAGCAGCAGACAACCCCAGGACAGCTGGCTACCTCAGAAGCTCCCTTCCCTACCCCCCACCAAGAGTCAACCGATGCCCACCAAGTCAGCTGGAAGCAGTTTTTTCCGGGAGAAATGATGCCCCTATTCCTGTTCACCCACTTTTTTTTTTATAATAAGCAAAAAGTCTGGAATTTTGTTGTGTCTTGTGACCGTTCTGCTCGGAAACAGCGCCGCTGTTTTTTAAAACAACCACCACCCCTGTTCTCTCCTTCCCCAACTCTGTTGCTCACACTAAAAGGTTCTGAGTTCTACATCAAGGAAAACTGTTAAATTCACTATGTTTAACCCAATCGTTCCAAATGTGACTGATCACAAAGCCCCTTTCTGTGACGTCTACTTCCTTCCCATGGGAATAGGCATCCTGTGTCACACAGTGACAAACGGCCTCTACGATGAAATCTAAATGCCTTAGATTACTGTTCTGAGTGAACACCTCAAGCCTGTGCTGATTCCACAATACAAACTGGCCTGTCACATACCATTCTGCAAGGTGGATGCTATTTTTTAAATCAATTTTGCATTTAAGAAAAAGTTGTTTAGGAAGCTCAGTGATGTTCCCAGGATAACGGAGCTTAGGAAATGGGAAGAAAAGACTGGAATTTAAGTGTACTGACAACCCAAGCCCCCACCTTGGGCACATGCTATGCTAAGGTGGGAAACGTGGATTGGACTCTCTCAGGGAGCTAGTGGGAGCCTCCGAGGGTTCCCGAGCAGGAGCATCCAGGATAAAAGAAAGTGGGGGCTTGGGCTGTGCTAGACGGAGAAGGTCTGACCGTAACCCCTGTGCCTGTGCCCACAGCTCTGCCCTACAGGGCACTTACTGGACTACTTGGTAGTAGCGGTGCAGGAAGAAGGACCAGCCATCAGGGCTCAAGTACAGCGGGGCATCCGGGTCCTTGTCGATGTCCTTGTGGGCCATGCTGCTAAGGTGCTCCTCACACGCACTCAGAGCCTCGTCCACAAACTCTGGGGACACCATCACTGCCTTTTTCTCCTGTTTCTTGGGCAGTGGGTTTTCTGTGGGGATGGAAGGGACCTGTAAATAGCCCATGTCGAAGCAGGTAATGTTACATATGCCATCGTCCTTTGCTGACCTGAAACCTATCACTTACCTGAGGCCTCACCCTAAGACACCTGAGGCCCAGAGAGAACTTGATCCCCAGCCACCCTGAGACATGCCACTCACTCACCTGAAACTGCTCTAAATTCACCCTAGCATTTTGTCCCTGGGCACCTCTTACTCAACTAAGGCTCCAGCCTAAACATCCCAAAGGTCTCTTAGAGCATGCCTACCCCAGCATCTACCAGCAGCTCTCTTTCCCTGGGCCCCTTGACACAACTTGGCCCTACAGTGTACCTGGAAGCCTTGCCTAGGTGAACCCAGATACACATGAAGCCAGATCTGACTTAGCTTCCTATACATCCCATGGGATACCTGAAAGCATCCCTTCTCTCAGAATCCTGATGGACATCAACAGCCCTTAAGCTGAAAAGTCCTAATGTACTCGTGCAAATGGAAGCATTCATATGGAAGTGATATGCCAACCTCTGCCCGAGAGGACCTGATGCACACTCATGACCCGGCTCAGCCCTTTGCTTATTTAAAAACTCTGACATACAACCAAGCCCTCAACTGCCCCCCTGCAACTCTGACCCATACTTGAGCTCAGCACACAGAAGTTTAAGTGCAGGGTCTCTGGCTACACAGGGTCTCCTGCGGCCCAGATCCTGGCACACAACAGTCTTTTGGGTACCTGATCCACCTAGGTCAAGGTACCAAGTGACAGCAATTGAAGTTGTGTATGTAGGGGTTCCTCTGGAAGGGCCAGGGAATTTTCTTCTTCCAGGAAAGCTGCCCACCCCTTCCCAGAGTCCCTTGGCCACGGAGCCCCAGTATTGCAGAGGGAGAAGGGAAAGCAGTATGTTGGACCAGCATGCACAGGGTTTCTATGTCTCCTCCCTTCCCAGATGTTCCTTATGTGCAGTCACGGGGTTTCTTGGGAACATCTGTACATAGCTGTGTTCCTCTGCGTCTTCTCAGAGAACTTGAAGTGGTTTATCACAGGCAGGGATGGGCCATCTGGTCTCAGCCTGCCTCTCTAAAGTGGTCAATCAAGCCTACTCAAGGGCTGGACAATTAACAAATTGACAGGTAGACAGGTGGGGGGTAGATGCAGGGTAGAGTGCAGGATGACAGCTGGGAGGCAGAGGACAGACAGGTGGATGGGAAGACAGAAAGATGGACTGTGCAAGGGCAGGAAGGAAGGGAGTAGATAGATGGATATAAAGTGGGAAGGATGGTAGTGGTAGTGACCGCAGTGATCAGCAGGAGGTGGGGGGGGGGTGATGGAGAGAATGAACGGATGGTGGCTGGGAAGACAGGTGGATGGCTGGGTGAACGGGAGTGAACTATCTTCACAGGCGGGAAGATGGACAGGTTGGTGGTAAAGGCTGCAGTCTGGCCATATGACTTAAACACGTGGATGAACAAATGAGTGGACGACTGGGCACAAGACAGCAGGAGTGGACGTGACCACGGCACTCACCTAAGACCTCTTCCTCTCTTGCCTGGATGGAGGTGGAGTATGGCTTCGCTTCCGACTTCACCACCAGCTTGAGAACGTTGCGGGCAGCTGTCAGCCAGAAGTCCTCTGCTCCCAGGCAGGGATACCCTGCTCAGCCCCCAGGCTCCAGGCCTCTCCTGGTTCTGGAACCTCACCATGGCTTGCCCCATTTTGGATCCAGAACCTCATTTGCCTGTCTCCCTTTGGCACCTGGCTTCGACCCCAGCTACAGAATGTCATACCCACGGTATAACCAGACTTGGCACAGACTGTCTCCTGAGAGCGCTCTGTGCCTGTTTCAACTCTTTCTTTCTTTCTTTTTCTTTTTTGAGACAGGGTCTTGCAGTTTCAAGCTGACTGGCCTGGAACTCGCTATGTATACAAGGGTGGTCTCAAATGTGTGGCAATCCTGCCTCGGCTTCCCCAGTGTGGGGATTTTAGGTGTGACCCCCCCCACCCTGGCCCTCCTTGTCCATTTTGATACTTACTCTAACCTAAATCATAGTGTGGCCTAAATTCTATCTCAGGTTTAGAACATAATTTAAAAGCTGCCATCTGCTCTGGACCCAAATTCTGAACCCAGAACCTACTTTGCCTTAGAGACCCACAGCCTTTTATGGAACCTGGTCCAGCCTGCAACTTATCTGCACATGGAACCAACCCACCAACCTCTAGAACCTGCTCTAGAGTAAAAGCCTGGCTCCTTAGGCTTCTCTGTGCCAGGGTTGTCCAAGCCATGAGGCTCAGGGATGGAAGAGTCATTAGTGGGCAGAAAGGACCAGGGTTACAGAGAAGGTCTACTGAGCAGGTGAGGGCAAGAGGGGAGGGCCTGTTGTTTTCCACTGTGGGACGGACAGCACGAGGGGGCCAGGCCTGGGATTGGAGTCCCCTTACCTATGAAGGCTTTCTTGTCATCCTCTGCTCCCAGGCGATAGCATCGGGGGAAGAAGGAGTCAGCATCAGCCTCGTCAAACCAAGGCAGATTCCGGAGGTTGAGACACAGGCCCACCTATGGAGACAGCTGCTGAAGGGGCTGGGTAGGACCCAGAGAGTGTCGAGGGGCTCCTCCACATGCAGCGTACGTTCAGACACTCAGGAAGACTCTGCCTGGAACTTCCAACCCACTTGCAAGGCCTAACTTGACATCCATCTCCAGGCTTGCCCATCTGAGAAGGCCCCACCCTTTCCCACCCATAAAAGCCTATGCCACCCAGGAAGCCTTCAGGGTTCACACCACAGTGTGAATGATGACACAGTACAGTGATTCTCAACCCTCCTAACGCTGCAACCCTTTAATACAGTTCCTCATGCTGTGGTGACCCCGCAACCATAAAGCTATTTTGTTGCTACTTCATAACTGTAATTTTGCTACTGTTATGAATCAAAATATAAGTATCTAATATGCAGGATGTCGGATATGTGGCCCCAGAGGGCTCACAGTCCACAGGTTGAGAACCACAGGCATAACAGATGCTGATAAACCCTTTATCCTTTACACAATCTTAGACAACAGACATGTCAGTATTCTCATCTAAAGATTCTTCCTCTAAAGATGAGGGAGTGGAGCCTTGGAGAGGTGGAGGCATTTGCTAAGAAACCCAGGATCAGACATGCTCTCTGTTCAGGCCAGGGCCCCTTTTGTTCACAATCATCGACTGGGTGTTTTTCCGTTTTCAGACTTTACGGGAACTCAGCCCACAATCGTCATTATCAACATAGGTCAGGTACAGTTTGGGGACCAGATGTGAACCCAAGAACATCCTATCTCGTGTTCTCTGCAGAATCTCCTCTGACTGGCAAGTATAGCAGGAAGCAGGGCCGCCAGCCCAAAAGGTGGGGTTGGATTCCCTGGGATGCCTACCTTTGTAGTAAAGGAGCCTGCGTGGGCATAATGGTTTATCATCTGATCCTTGGAGAGGAAGCGACAATCCAGCACATCTCTCCGAGTGGTCCAGATGAGGTAGGGGGTCTCATTCCGAACCATGCGGGACTAGAGAAAAGGAGAGGAGTGGTGGGGACGGGGAGGCCAGTGGGGACAGCTTCCCCCTGCCCTGCTGCATACAGAGGAGAGCGGGTGTTCAAGGCATCGTCTGGACGCCCCCATCTCTGAATAAAGGCACGAGAAGACATTTGCTCCAGAGGGTATGTATGCTGGGTGAGCAGACAGCAGGCCAGATTTCCAGGCTCTACTTGGACCTCCTGTCCCAAGGCAGTAAATAAGCTGTACACCATGATGCCACACCTTGCTCTGTGACCATCAGTGATTGTCCCAGGGGAACGGCAGGGACTCCAATCAACGAGCACAAAGCACCGACGGAGGCTCTCTATGGGCCCAACCTTTCCATTCTCCTGACAACTCTGGGACACAGGGTGGTTATTAGCTAGAAACACTGTAGCAGGCTCTACTCTATTTTTAGAGACAGGCTCTGGCTATACAGCCCAGGAAGCCTCAAACTCACTAGGTAGCCCAGGCTACCTTCTAACTCATGGTCTTCCTGTTCAGCCTCCCAAATGCTGGGTTACAGATGTGCCACCACCCTGCCCAGCTTGAAACTGCCCCCTCTGTGTATTGGGAAAGGTTGCTTCAGGTCAGGCATGGTGGCACAGACCCAGAACTGAAAAGGCAGAGGCAGGCAGATCTCTGAGTTCGAGGCCAGCCTGGTCTACAGGGTGAGTTCTAGGACAGCCAGGGCTACATAGAGAGACCCTGTCTTGGAGGGGGAAAAGAGTAAGAAAGAACGAGCAAAGGCTTCATGCTGACAATGTCATGCTGTTCTTCTGGTGAGCTGCAGTCTCTGTGGCCTTGTGTGTGTGTGTGTGTGGATCTGTCACTCTGTCTCATCTGTGGAATGCACTAAGCCCACCCTTAACTCCACCTTAGAGGGCTTGAGTGAGGACAAATGAACTGATACAGCAGACACATAGAACAAGGTTCAAAACGGGTGTGCTGGTGCTTGCCTGGCTGCTGCTGGTTTGGTTTGGTTTTTTGCTTTTCCGAGACAGGGTTTCTGTGTGTAGCTCTGGCTGTCTGGGAACTCTGTAGACCAGGCTGGCCTTGAACTCATGGAGATCCACTTGCCTCTGCCTCCCCAGCGCTGGGATTAAAGGAGTGCACTACCACTGTCTGGAATAGTGCTTGCCTACAACTCTAGCACTCAGGAGGCTGAGGAAGGAGAACTTGAGTTCAAGGTCAGCCAGACCTCAGCTTTATAGTGGAACTCTGTTTTCTTCTTCTCCTTCTCCTTCTCCTTCTTCTTTTCTTTCTTCTCTATGTAGCCCTGGTTTGTCACTCTGTAGACCAGGCTGGCCTTGAACTCACAGAGATCCACCTGCTCTAACTCCCGAGTGCTGGGATTAAAGGCAGTTTCATAGTTCACTTAGTCTGGGTGGGGCCAAGCTCTGAACTTGTGCCCTTTCCTCATCACACATGCCCTTCATACCAGCACACCAGCCTCTCGAGTTTTGGTGTGCATATTTCTATGTATAGGAATGTGTTTGTGGTGTGTGTGTGTGTGTGTGTGTGTGTGTGTGTGTGTGTGTGTGTGTGTAAGCCAGAGTACAATCTTGGGTCCCACCAGGAGCTACCCATCTTGTTTTTTGTTTTTTAAGAATGTATTTATTTTTATTTCCTGCATATGGGTGTTTTGCCTGCAAGTGTCTGTGTACCAAATTCATGCAGCACCCAGGGAGGCCAGGAGAAGGTGTCAGATTCCATGGAACTTGAGTTACAGACTGTTGTGAGCTGTCGTGTGGGTGCTGGGAATCAAATCTATGTAACAGCAGCCAGTACTCTTAACCACTGAGCCATTTTCCAGTCCTCCATCTTGTTTTTGCCAAAGAGTCTCTCAGTGGACTGGAGCTTGTACGGTACACTATGCTAGCTAGCCAGCAAGCCCTGGGGACCCCACCAGTCTCTGCCTCCCCAGCACAGAGATTACCAGCTTTCCACCACCACCATACCTGGCATTTATTTATTTATTTATTTATTTATTTATTTATTTATTTATTTATTTATTTAGAGATAGGGTTTCTCTGTGTAGTCCTGACTGTCCCTCTGTAGACCAGGCTGGCCTCGAACTCACAGAGATCTGCCTGCCACTGCCTCTTGAGTGCTGGGATTCAAGGCGTGCGCCACCACACTGTTCAGCTGACACACCTGGGTTCTGGGGCTTGAACTCAGGTCCTCACTTGATTGAAGGACACATCACCTTTGCTTGTCTCTTGACTTTTAAAGCCATTTCTTACAGCCTTCATTTACCAAGGGCAAAGGAAGGAGATGAGCAAAGTAGTCTTTAAGCGGTAGGGAGAGCCATCAAAACCACCATGAGTAGAGGATGTGGTCACCCTAGTAGCCCTATAGAGTCCCTCACCACTCTACAGACTTAGTCTGCTGTGGGATGTTCTGTATGTCCTGTAGGAGCCCGTTCTTGGGTTCCTCGTGGCTTTACCCAGCAGGTCCACATAGAGAATGATTAGGACCACGGGCCTGAGTGCAGGTGTCTGAGATGGTCTGCACTTGGCTGTGCTGGGGGATGGTCTGTATGTCAAGTTGCTCTGATTGGTCAATAAATAAAACCTGATTGGCCATGGCTAGGCAGGAAGTATAGGCGGGACTAACAGAGAGGAGAAATAAAAGAACAGGAAGGCAGAAGGAGTCACTGCCAGCTGCCACCCTGACAAGCATCATGAAAAGATGCCGGTAAGCCACGAGCCACGTGGCAGGGTATAGATTTGTGGAAATGGATTAATTTAAGCTATAAGAACAGTTAGCAAGAAGCCTGCCACGGCCATACAGTTTGTAACCAATATAAGTCTCTGTGTTTACTTGGTTGGGTCTGAGCGGCTGTGGGACTGGCGGGTGACAGAGATTTGTCCTGACTGTGGGCCAGGCAGGAAAACTCTAGCTACACTAGTCAATCTTTAGAGAAGCAATCTGATTTTCCAGACTGGAAGCTGGGGTTCAGAGAAGGAAGGACATCCAATTGGATGGTCTTTCTCTGAACAGATGCCTCCTGCCAGCCCCCCGTTATATACTGACCCCCAGAGTCCTCACCATCAAAGCGTGTACCCCATCCAGGTCATCAAGTTCCAGAAACCCATCGAAGTCCAACAGCTGTGGCTCCCGAAACTCCTCGTTTTCCTCTTCATCCTCTGTGGATGTGAAGGATGACTCCATGGGACTGTGTCTATGCCCCCCAGCCCTTTAAGGTCTCAACCCTGGACCAGTGCGGAGCAACGGAAAAGGTCTCAGGAAGGAGACAGCTTGTGCACAAGGAGAGACCTACTCACCATCCTCTGTAGCATCACTATCACCCATCACCAAACTGTCTAGATCCTTCGGGGGTGGTGGCAGGGTGGTGCCTTGGGGAGGGACCATCTTTTTTTCTACCCATCCCCTCTGGCGCAATAGACACCGGATCACTGGGTAGCGGCCATGAATCATGAAGATCTTCTTCTGCTGTAAGGTGAGAGGCAGGGACTTCCTTCAGCATCAGACATATAGGAGGCAATGATGAACCAGACAGGATCTCTGCCTTCAGGGAATTTTAATATCCCAGTAGGAGGCAGCTTATAAACAAGAAGAAAAATAAACATGAATAGCTAACAGTTACTGAATTCCTATTATGTGGTAAGCTCTTACATGCACCACTAAGAACAATTTGCATTTTAATTACATATTAAAGGCACACAGAGGCTAAACAGTTTCTCCAGAAGTACATGGTAGTTAAGTGACTGAGCAAAGACTTCTTCCTTTTTGTTTGGTGCTGGGGATTAAGCCCAGGGCCTTGTACATGCTAAGTACCCATTCTAACACTGATGTTTCCAGTCTCAAACTGGGCAAACTGGGCAGGAGCCACAAATGCAGAGCTGAACAAATGGCACTTCATGCAGGGTGGAGTGACATGTGCAAAGGTCTGGAGGCTAGCTAGAAGTCAGAGGGAATGAGAGGCCAGGGAGAGAAGTCTGACAAACGAGAGCTCGCTCCCAAGAATAACGGAGTGTGACTGGACTGTGGAGGGCCCCATGGACCTTAACATTCAGCTTTGTATTTTATAAGGAGAGGAATGAGCCAAGAGGGTAAGGAAGGAAGTAAAGGAGGTTCCATAAGTTTGCATGCCAATGCATGGAGAATCAGTGGGGGTCGGGGGAGGCACAGAGGCAGATCCTTAGGAGGACGCCATGGTCTGAACAACAGTGATGGGAGGAGGGTGGTAATGCGGAAACTGGGAGGGAGGTGCTAGCTTGAGACTCATTTTGGAGGTGTGGATGAGTTTGCTGATGGATGGATGGAACCGGAAGAATGGATTTCTGGCTTCTAAAACAAGTGATGGGGAAAACTGGATACTGGGGAGGACGACGGGTTTAGACGATGGAACAGGGGTAAGGTTTGGGATGCAAGTGCTCATGAGGTGCTGGTGAGCTCATTGGGTGAAGACATCCAGCACAGGGCTGGATCTCCAGGGTGGGGGCTGGAGGCAGGAAAAGGGGATGCAGGACACGGTATGATCCTGGACCCCCAAGCTCAAGAGAAGAGGTGCGTGGAGAGGGACCCAAGGAATCACAAACATCCGGGGAATCTTCAGGAGGCCAGGGAGTAAGCAAGGGAAAGTAGGAGTGTGAGCCAGCCATTCAGCCCAGGGTGGAATGTGGGACCTGTTTGTGAGACACAGTGCCCCAGCAGGAGGAAGGCAGTTAGGGGCTGTAGGACATGACTCCTTACTGGGTATCACGGCCCTAGATGAGAGTGGTTTCTAATGGGAATCGGGGCTGAGAGAGCTGAAGACCATATCCCTAGGTAGAGACAATTCAGCCGAGACTCTGGGCCTAAAGAGGGGCTGAGGATGGAGGTGAGGGACACTTACAGATGCGCGAGCGTGTGTGCGTGTATTAAGTCTTTCTTTGACATTTATGGATTTATTTTTTAAGGATATGAGAAACCAGTAAGTGTAGCCACCGCCCCCCCATCCCCTCCGACCTTGACGGCTCTCTCTACGTGGATTTTGGCGTTTCTGAGTCGGCCCATGGAGTGAGGTCCCTTGGAGAATCCTCGCCAAAGGACAAGGGAATCTGCAGAGAGATGCGGAGCAGGAACACAGAAAGCTAAGGGTTTGGCCCTGGGACTTCTCTGACTCCGGGCCCGCGCTCCCTTGCCCCTACCCTGTATCCGGTGCTCTCCAGACTCCCCATTCCTTCCACCCTCGCAACCTCTCCCTGCAGTCGGCAGGATGTCAGGGCTGGCTGGCTGCCCGTGCTGCGCCTCACCATCAGGCGGGGGCGGGACATCAGGCAGGGGCTCATCCAGGGTCGTGGGGAGCAGGGAGCTGACGGGGTAGGGATTTGCAGTGCCCTGGGCACCCGGCACGAACTCGTGGGCGCTGCTTAGGTGGCGCACAGGCAATGGGCTGCAATCCCCACGGCTGCCGCCGCAGTGCGCCACCTCGGGCCTGGCGGAGGCGGGCCCGGGCCATTGTAGCCTCCTTGGCGGGCGGAACTCCGGGAAGAGCCACCGGGAAGGGGTACTGGTGCAGAGCTCGGGTGGCTGCGGCCTCCCGTGCCAGCTGCACTCCGAGCCGTCTTCCTGGTTGTAACAGGCGGCTGCAGGCCCAAGCTGCCCCGCGTTCAGGAAAAGAGCCGCGCTGAGGGCCTGCATGCGCCTTTCGCCAGGATCACTCCCGGCACCCGTGTGCGGCTCCGCCCAGGCGCCCTCTGGGGCTCCGCCCTCTGTTTCCTGTCTCCTAGGAGACCGTTGCCCAGGCACAATCAGACTCAAGGGCTGGAAATCCGCCATTGCCAAGTGGAATTAGGACTTTTCATGGTGGTTTTGGCTCTGGGCCTCACTTGCCACACGCCCTTGCTGAGCCAGGCACTGAGGATGGAAGAACCGAACACTGGGGCGACCTTTAGAGTTCCTTATTTTTTGTGCCTTAGCCCACACACTAAGGCTCTGGGATAAGGGCTGTCAAGTGGTCCCTGACCTCATGGAGCTTACAGTGTTTTGCCAAAAGTTAGCAAAAGAAACAAAAACGTGTTGCAGGGAAAAAGCAGTGAGCTGAAACTGGGGAGGCTTCCTGATGGTAAGGCAGTTAGGGGTGTGCTCTCAGGTGACAGGCTGAACTAATGGTGTACACACAAAGGAGTCAGGAACCACCAAGGAAAGAGATGAAATCACCTTCTAGCAGTGGAAGTCTCAGCAACTACCCTCGAGAGGAGGCTGAGAACATTTCTATGGGGGGGGGGGATAAAGGCAGCTGGTGAGACTGGGTCATCCAGTGGGGCCTGGGTGGAGATCTTTAGGCTACGTGTGGGGTGACAATGTGAGGTTCAGAGCACACGCTGCCTCTTCCACTAACATGAAAAAGTAAAATCATTTTTTATCAACTGAAGAAATGGAAAGACACAGAGTACTTCATATTCTGGCCAAATCTGTAAGTGAACAAGGCATTATCTTCAGAACTCTTGAGAGAAAATAAGTCAGACTCCAAAACAGTACATAACTTGTCTCAAAATCACACAGCATAGCCAATCCTAGTACAAAGTTCTGGCTCCAACATCTTTTTTTGAGACAGGGTCTCAGGTACTCCAGGCTGACTTTCAACACCTGGACGGCCACCACACCGGTGCCGGATGGAATTCAAGACGTCAAGCGTGCTGGACAAAGCAGTCTAGCAACTGTGCTACCTGCCCGGACACTTGGGCTTCCTGTTGGGGTTAGAAGCACCAAATGGAATCATAGAGGCCAACTCTAGCAGTGTCTACTCAACTCAGCTGCCAGTCACCAGGAGGTCTGCCTTTGTAAGGAGGATCCCCAGCTACCTGTCCAGCCAAACCCAAGCAGAGATTTCCCCGACCCTGCAAATGGCTGGGAACTGGACTTCCAAGAAGAGAGGGAGGATTGACTACTTGGAAGCAATCTGGTCTGTTCTCAGCCTGCAAATCTGGTTGTAGGGACTTTGGACCTTGGGAGATAACTACAATACAGCAAAGTTTTAACTGGCTCACCGGAAAAAGGATGTTCTTTGAGGGTGGAGTGACCAGCTGCCATTTCCTCCTGATCAGTAAGCTTCACCAAGACCTTTACCAGTCTCTGCAAAGCTAGGACAGTGCCATGAACCACAGAGGGCCCAACTAATTCAATAAAGCAGGAGGTCACAGAGGTAGTGTCATAAAGGGATGGTAGCTAGTCAAGCTGCCCCCACCCCTCCTTTAACACTTACCAGTTCTTTTCAAAAGACCCCTGGGGGGCTATTGATGTAGCCTGGTGATAGGTTTGCACACTGCGCTCAAGACCCTGGGTTCAATCCCAGCACTGAGAAACAATTCCTGCCACAGCTCAGCAAATACGCCTTTGGCCATCCAGAAAGCTCAGCTCTTTCTTACACATACCTTTTTATTTCATTTGAGAAAGTATCTTTCTGTAGTTCAAGGATGGCCTAGAACTCACAGAAGTCCTGTTTCCAATTTCCAAGTGCTAGAATTACAAGTGTGAGGGAGGCAGCATGCCGGGCTCAAGGCCAGTTGTTCCTGCAGCTTTCCCTGATCCCCTCTCCTGCGAGCATACCTGCCACCCCTCCACTTCCAACCATGAACACCACTCCTAAATGACTATTTACAGACCTCACTTGTCCTGGGTCTGGGTTTTACCAAAGTATGACTGGGTGTCAGCACTGATGCCCACACAGGTTAAACAGGAGGAACAGCAAGCAGAGGATCAACTACTGTTCACGCAGCATCTGCATGGCAGGCAGTGATACAGCTCCCACTGTCTACATTAGGAGACGAGAAAGGGCCACTCACTTCAGGAGCCACTGAAGTCACAGGCACTGTCTGATGGAATCCCTGAGCACTTTCAGTACTGAGTTACCTGTAGCTACCCAACATCTGCAAAGTCACCAATGGGACTAAGATCTTGAGACAGTGTAGAGTGATTCCTGCTAGCACAGGCAGAAATCTCTCCCTCTGGCTCACAGGATGGGAGGTTTGGAGCAAGCTATTTTGGACTGTGGCACCTGTTTCCTTATCTACAAAGTGGGGTCCTGGTTTCTGAGGACACCTGAAGATAGACTAGAAGCATGATGTGAAAACACTATTATCTCTGCTCAGGCAGAGACCACCTTCAGAGTAATGGTGCCTGATTGCAGTGAAGGTCTCGGAGTCGGGATTCTTGGCAGAGATCAAGCGCCTGGTGGACTGCTCCAGACCCAAGTGCCAGCCATACATGGCTCCAAGGAATAAAAACAGCTGTCCTTCCACACATACACAGAGCACAGACCTCATGCAGCCCCAAAGGGGCAGGAAGAGACTTTAATTAGGGGAAGGGAGGATTCATCAGAATCAGAGACAGCGAGCGTGGGAGCAGAGGAGCCAGAGGAGGCGAAGCCCAGCTGGGCACTCAAGGACTCACCTCTGCACCTCCAGCACAGGCACTGTACCCAGACAGGCAAGCCCTGGGGCCTCTCAGCTGGGGAGGTGTTGGGGGGACGACTCCAGGTGGCCCCTGCAGCCTGAAGTTGCCTGGCTTTTGGACCCCAGCTCCTAGGTCTGCCTGGCAATCATAGATTCAGCCCTTGTTCCCAACCAGTGCGGTGGCCATCTTCAGGCAGAACTCAGGAGGCTAGCAGAGAGTCCTTACCACCTCTATTGGGCCCAAGGAGTAAGACAGCAAGGAAGAGAAACTGGAGTCTGAAACTTCTCTCTCCCCACCTGGGGTGGTGCAGGAAAAATAGTCGCCTTCTGGCTCCAGGCCCGCCCAGACCACAGCGACCAATAAGGTACAATCACTGGGGCCAGTCACAGCCACTGGAGGTGGAGGTTGTTTAAAAAAAAAAAAAAAGACAAAAAGGTTACAGTCTTCCACAAGCACAGAGTTTGGGTTTCAAGACGTTTAAAAAAAAGTCTGTCCCGGCCCAGGGGACTAAACATCAGAAGCTAGTCTGACCAGACACGTGGCCTTGGGGTAGGTCCACTGCTGCCTTTTTGCACAGCTAGAAAGCACACCACACCCACCTCCCGCATCCAATGCCCACCCAACCCTGCTTCCTGCTGCCGCCGCTGCCGCACGAGCTCCAGGGAGTGACTCCAGGACACCTTCGCAGACACGCAGAGACACAGGGAAGGCCAAGGGGGTAGGCCGCCAGATCCAGCCGGATGGTTTAAAACTGTCAAAGAGAAGGAGAGGCAATGAATGGGGGCTGCTGTATGCGGCCTGGTGAGCTATTCCAGGTAAGCGGGCTCTGAGCCGCTGTTGTTCAGGTCTGAGTACAGGATCAGGTTTTGGTACTTCATGAGAATACTCTTTCTTTGTGAACCTCCATGTGGGTACTGGGATCCAAACCCAGATCCTCTGAAAGAAAACAAGTGCTCTTAATCACCAAGTCATCTCTACAGCCCCATGAGCATGCTCTTAATTTGGCCAGACTAGCAGTGATCTGAAGACACTTGCCTAAAACACAAAATCAGAGAAAGAAACAATTCAGTGATGAGGGCTTCCCCACAGCTTGCCTGGTGTAACTGAAGCAGCTTTAGATACGGAGCCCCACATGTGAAGGGCTAGAGGACTCAGTGAGCCAAGAGAGAGGGCCAAGGTCTGGTACTTTATGTTAAACTGTGAGTGACTGTCAAACTAGAACAGGCCTTAGAAGAGCTTTCTGCTCCCTGTGGCTGGTGCACGCACGCACGCACGCACGCACGCACGCACGCACGCACGCACGCACGCACGCACAGGGCTTCAGGTCCTGTGCAGCACCTGGCCCCACCCTTAGCCCCTGCAAAGGTGTCAGATATTTTTGTCTTTGTCCACACCCTCACAGCTGGTCTGGCAGGAGATGGTACAGCCTGGAAGCAACAACCACTAAACCTGCAGGATGGGCCCCTAGGTTTATTATTCCAAGTCCTGAGCCCTCTCGGCCAGGAGAAGTACAGAGCTGGTTACTGCTCACATTTCACTTCGGATTCAGCTGGAAGAGATTGTCGCAGTACAGTCCCTAGCCTGTCCTTGAGTCTTCTTACCTGTAAAGCTTGGAAATACAACTGGGAAGTTCTTATTTAACATACAGAGAAGGTCCTTGTACGTCTGACTGGGCAGACCGCTTACCAAACTCCCAATTTAAGGACGGGGAAGCACAGAAACATCAGGAGCAATGAAGCAAACAAGACCCCACACAACAGTCCACGCTCCAGGCATGGGAGTGTGCGACTCCTGCTCTGAGTGTCACGAGAATTGACACTATGCTGCTTAACTTTACTGCCTCTGGAAGAGTTTAAGTGCAGCTGGGTGTGGTGACACACGCCTTTAATCCCAGCACTCAGAAGGCAGAGCCAGGCAGATTTCTATGAGTCCAGACTGATCTACTTAGTGAGTTCCAGGCCTGCCAAGGCTGCATAGTGAGAACCAGGCTTCAAAAACAAAAGGCAATAAACATTAAGTACTAGGGGCTTAGTGATGAAATACTGCTCTCCCTGGAGAACCTGAGGCCCAGTTCCCAGCACCCACACCAGTCAGCGCCTACAACTCCAGCCCCAGGTGATCTGGAACCTGTGGGCATAATCAATCTCTCTCTCTCAATCTCTCTCCTCTGCCGCCCCCGCTCCCCAGCACCCTCAGGTGATCTTACCCAATGTTCAACCTCCCTGAAAGGTGCACATTAACAGCTGAGGAAATTAACAGCTGAGGAGGGCAAGTCTTAGTTGAGCAGTTCAGTGATGTGCCTGGGGGAGGCAGAGGAGTCAGGCCCACACTTCGGTCTGATTTGTGAGTATAAACAACACTGCCTTGTGCACTGGCCAACCACAGGATAATTAAACCCCGGGGGAAGTGGGTACATTTCCATTTTTAGGATTCTCAACTCCCCTGGGCTGGGTCTGTATGCACTAGTAAGAACAAACATTAACTCTACCAAGGAGGGATCAGACAGCAATGAGTGGAATGTATCAACAAACCGGAGATTGTTTGGAAGGCAGAAGCATGTCCTGAACCTCTAGACAAAGCTATGCCGCCCGCTCCTCTTGTAAACAACCCCTCCTCTTCAGAATGTTGAAGAAACCAAAATGGTAAGCCTGAGAAACAGACACTGAAGAAAAATATTTATGTCTGCTCGAGAAGTGGACTTACACACGACTAACTGTCCTATGGTCCAGGAGTCGCAGGCACTTTATCTTCCTCCCTCCGGGGTTTGAACTAGGACAGGTAGAGACTACGTAGAACTGGGAAATACAGAATTCCTGCCTACAGTTCCACCAGAGACTTGCCTCCCAGACTTGCAGAAGTAAGAGAACAACTTGGGGCTCTCGAGGATGAAACCTTTGGCCTCACTCAGGACTGTCTTGTCAATGCCACATTCCCAGAACCCATGGCTTCTTCCAACCTCTGGTATGGAGAGAGCGGGGAGGTCCTACTCACATTCTTGAGGAACTCCTCAGCCACAATGCGGGCCCGGGCATTGACTGACAGCTTCATCTCACTGATCTCCTTGTCAATCTCTTCCATGAAGTGGATTACAAAGTCCACCAATTTGTGTTTGTACATCTGCTCCGTGTGGAAGTTGGTGATGAGAAAGCTGATGTCATACCCCTAGGGAGGGAAGCCAGCAGGGAAGGAGGAGAAGACACAAGACAAAATTAGCCCCCCAGGGACACTTGCTTGTCATAGCTTCTCCACACTCACACAAAGGCATCCAACTGGCTACCATCTTCTCCGAGCTATCCACTAGCTTGGGGAGGGGGGCACAGGGGTGAGTGTGCGTTTTGTCTGTCTGCTGGATCCAAGCAACTGAACCCAGTTCAAAATTGTGTGCTAGGTCAGATGTCCCCGAAAGACTGTGGCACAAACAGCCCTGTATTGGAAATGAACTAAGGGAATGAAGGGACCACAAATCTTACTTCAAAGAATCCAATCCAATAGTCAAAATCACAGTGGAACTACAGAGAAGAGGACGGAACTGGAGCCGTTTGCTAAAGGAGGATGTGTGAGGAAGAGCGAGCTCAT